CTTTCAGCAAAAAGTCCAAATAAAGGTCTCAGTCAGAAAAGTTTTTGTTGTTTTGTCAGGCCAGTTTTGCCATTTCTGCAAATTTGGACATTTTCCCAATTCATTCCGCACTGTGGGGATTTCATTGTTCTTCCATCATTTGGGCACGTTATCATCTTCCTGCAGTTACCATATACAAAATCAATCTACCATGAGCCTTTTCAAGTTCCTGAGGTCTGATATGTAGCAGTGAAGTCCCAAACATTTTATCCATATGACATGAAGATAAAAGCAGGCAATGGAACTGAGATATCAGAAGAAAGGGCTGGTTGGGCCTGTAAAATGCCAACACAAAAATGGAGAAACATCACTTGTTTGTCTCTGGAGTCTTAACCCCTCTCCTTTTTGTGGGAAAGAGTTTTCTTAGTACATATTAGGTCTGATCGGTATCTAAACCATGGTGTAAAAATAGATTTTGGTTGAAAAATAAGTGCATATACAAAACTCTCTTGGTTTGTTCACATGCAACTGCCTTCATCTAAAGTGATCAAAAAACCCACAAAGGATGGAAGTGCGCACTCATTTGAGGTGAGCATGAAAAATTGGTTGAACTTCTTTCTTTCCTAATTAGGAGATGCAAAACTCATGCACAACTACACAATTGGTGATTTTCTGATGTTTTATCTACAGTAAGCTACAGAATAAGCTTTTTACCAGAATGTGTGACTTTTTTTCCCAAGAACATGTACTAAAATTGTTAGTGCATATTGTTCAATGTGAAATTCAAGACAGAATTTTTGAAAATGGAGGAGATGAAATAGGGATAGAAACTTGCTTCTCTCTCTCAAGTGGGCATTTAAGAGATTGCACTTGACAGGCAGAGGCAGAGAATACACCAGATGAACTTGTTCAAGGTTTGATAAATAATTGCAGGCTGAGTATGGGATGATGGTAATTTCCTTACAAAAGAGCTAGTCACTTCTGGAAGTTTGTGACTGAAGCAGAAAAAGAAAAAAAGAATGGAAAAAAGATTGACCCAACTGCTTATTCTGAAACTTTTATGAGTGACAAACTTAGTCATTCTTTATGAAATTCTTTTGGGTTTTCTGTGAGTTGAAAGAAATGTTGTTCTTATGGAGAAGATAGACAGACAGACAGACAGACAGACAGACAGACAGACAGATCCCCATAGCATAATCAACGGAAAATGAGAGGTGGCTGTTTGCACAAAATGATAAGATATTATTGATAATTCAGAATGACAAAGATGGGTTTTATAATTTGTAATACTGTTTTGGGATATTTTCAATCCACTGTGTGGTCCATTCTGAATGAGGACACAGCAAAACTATATGCATGCCCTGGGAATTGTTCGCTTCTGGTTAGGTAACCATAGATATAAATTATTAGTTCTAGTAAGGTAAAGAATCAAAACAAATGCATCTTAGATTTATGTATTTAATCCATTTATTGACTTACAATTTCTTTTTTTTCAAAAAGGGTGGTTTTAAACATGCTGAATCTTCAATCTTTCTTGATGTATGAATTTTATATTGCAGCAGCTGTCCTTACAACTCCCTGCTGTTTGGCTGAAGGTGTTGCTGACAAATATGTAGGACAATGTAATTCTACAGGTGAACATGAAATTACAATGCTTCTAAATTACATTTGCATTCTTTTTCCACAATCTTCCTAGCTCATCATGGAATTTCATAGGATATGGAGGCTTCTGTCATTGTCATCTCATTTGTAATATTTTCAAATCACCTTCTTTTTCTTTCTCCTTTTCCCAAAAGAAAATTAGAATAAGTGTTCATTGATTTGTTGGTAGAGCTAGGAAGCTTCCTAAAATATTGGGAAGGAAATATTGCTCATTTTCTATTTTAGGTTTTTAAAAAAGGGAATTAAATGCTGGTTTAAAGTTCTGTATGCCAGATGCTTAATTCCAGTGCAATAGTCATTCAGTCGAGCTTTTCAGAAATAGTTTAAAATTTTGTCAAAACATTATCTTCCTGATTATTTTCTATGGGACTCCCTCCTGGGCTAGTTATTAATGTACTTTCATTCTTATGAAGGTTTCCTTTATGTAATTTTGGCACTGTCATGGCACTCACGCAGGACTATTAAGAATGATGACAGATTAAAAATAAATGTAAGAAGAAAGCCTGGCTCACAAATTCTGCTTCAAGTTAGAGCTGATGAAGGTTCACATGAGTCAAGGAGATTATCTGGAAAATGACATGATGCATCCATAATGTGAATGGCCACATTGGTAGATTTGAAAATGATTGATTAGCATCATGGATTAAAGTGATGTTTGAACTTTCTAACTTTTTTTTGAGATAAGCTACATAAGTTAAATCATGTTACGCAATGAAATATATTTTAATCAGTACTGATTTAAGCACACATTTGTGAGTCAGTGAAAAAAATTATAACTTTCCTGGGGACAAGCTAGAAATCCATGGTACAATGCTCTTCATCACTTTTATTGAGTTTAAATGCTTTTTCTTTTTCTGCTTCTATATCTCTCTCCCATTATTTATATCTCTCCCATTACTATTGTAGGTGAACTTCCAGCCCCGCAGTTTTTCCTGAATGGAAGTTCAGTGCAAGAGGGAGAGTGGGTCCTCTTGCAATGCTTGCATAGCAATGAATTTGAGGTGAAAAACTTTTATTTCTGTAAAGATGGGCATCCCCTTTCAACTCCCACTGCCTTGTTATATGATGGTACTTACAAGGTGTCACTCCAGATCTCGCCGGAAAGTGCAGGCCAGTATAGCTGTGGGTATCAAAGTATGGACAGGAAGAGCCAGATGAAGAAGTCTGCCCACAGCGCTGCTCGGAATCTGACTGTCATATCAGGTAAGAATCTTGAAAGGATCCTATTAGGAAGAATCAAGGGCATCTTAGCATCTGGAGAGGAGAGTTGATTCTTTCTCCAGGAGATGGTAAATGTGTTCAAAATTTGAACACATTTTTCCATGCTGCTCCTGTTCCATAGACAGTGAAGACACTGAGTTCACAATGGACCACAAAAGT